TTTTCTTACCTAGATAAAGATGTTCATAAAATTCAGCAGATGGTCAAGCACCATCATTAAGCTAGGCCCGAAACGTACTCCGCAGTACAAAAAATCCGAAAACAACAATAGTAATAATAACTGCTATACAAAAATTCCCAAAACAATAATAATAATATTAAATTTAATAATAACTGCAATACAATTAATTTAACGATTTAATGAAATTAAAGAAATTTAACGATTAAATGGAATTTAACGATACAAAAAATCACATAACAATACTCATAATAACTGCTATACAATTAATTTAACGATTTAATGAAATTTAACGATACAAAATCACAAAACAGTTCTAATAATAACTGCTATACAACTAATTTAACGATTTAATGAAATTAACGAAATTTAATGAAACTGTCCGTCGGGACATCCGTTAAAATTCAAACGGTACAGAGAAAATTAGCATGGCCCCTACGCTAGGATGACACACATAAATCGAGAAAAAGTCCTTATTAATAATGAAACTAACGAAATTTAATAAAATTTAATGAATTTTAATGAAAAAATTAATGAATTTAATGAACTATTTTATTGAGCAAGAAGACGGCCTCGTCTCTCGTGCGATATACTCGATGCATAGTGACGGCCATCTGCATCGTCCGTTGGAAACCGTCCAGATTCTTTAATCCAGCGGACAGAGTGACTGCAAAATTAAATTCTCTCCGTCCGAGAGAGGGCGGGACAAGCTCCGCCGCCGTTTTTTTCCCAAAAAACAAAATGAAAAATTTACTTTCTAAGCGCCCGAAAAGAACGCTCGCCCGTGATTATAGCTGTATTTGGCGCACCTTTCGGTCTAGATACAGCGACAATAACTAGGCAGAGTTCTATTCGGGTGAAGACGGTATCTGTGTCATCACGAACTCCTTTATCGTAACAATACCCCTACCCCTTTACCCGACTGTCTTTACTGTAAAGGTTTAATTATATATTATACGATATATTATACAATATATTAAACAATATATTATACGATATATTATATATCGTCAGACCGTGTACCGGAGTGCAAGGCGGAAAAAGACAAAACAAAAAAGGAAAGAAGGAAAGATCTTCTCCCTCTCTGCCTACGGTTCACCCTATTGTCACAAAAACATCAGAGCGCAAATGCGGAAAAAAAAAAAAAAGAAAGAAAAAAAGGAAAAATGAATTCAGTTTTTTTCCTTCTTCCTTATAACTCCCCCTGTTCAGAACCTTGTGCGTACAAGGCCGCCCACGTGGATGTAGGTATATATATCGTCAAACAGAAGTACCCAGTAAACCGAAGTCGAAAACAAACAAGAACTGCTCGGGAACTTTAAAAAAAGGGTATTTCTAAATTTTCCCTATTAATTATCATCTTCCCAAACTCAGACGCTCTCCTGAAATGTCCTCAGCACCGAATTTGTTTATCCGTCGGGAAAAGAAAAAAAAATCCGTTTGATACATTTACTAGTAGGAGCACCTGGTCGTGATGGTGACCGGGAGGAAGTCACTCAAGGTCGACAAGACTATCAAGTATTGGCTGTTATATCCTGGCTCCGTTCAATGGCCGTCGTAGATTATCTGACTAATCAAATGGCCTTAACAACAACTGAAGGGACTGTCATATATGCCTACCATCAAAGCAGTGTCCATCCTCTACAACAACCGGGACTTAACAAAAAAAAAAAAAAAAAAAAAAAAAAAAAAAAAAAAAAAAAAAAAAAAAAGAGCGCAAAGCGCGGATAACAAAAACCAAAAAAAAGAGCGGAAAGCGCAGCGGAAAGAGCGGGGAAGAGCGGGGAAGAGCGGGAAAGAGCGGGGAAGAGCGGGGAAGAGAGCGGGGAAGAGCGGGGAAGAGCGGGGAAGAGCGGGGAAGAGAGCGGAGAAGAGCGGGGAAGAGCGGGGAAGAGAGCGGAGAAGAGCGGGGAAGAGCGGGGAACCACGTTAAGTACTCAGTCGGCTACTTGAGGAGCATCAATAATAGGCTGTTGACATCAACAATAGGCTGTCGACGCTCTTCATGACCATAACGTCTGTAATCATGGGCTATTCATATATGACGAGAATAGGCTCTTCTATGATGAATAGCCTATTTATCAATAATAGGCTATAAATAACGAACGAGGGAGGGCATCATGACCGTTATGACGACACCCGCTTCTCGTGACGAGGGCAATCATCCATAGATTGGATCTCGTTCTGAAGAGAGAGCGACGTACACACTCGGCGACCAGACCCCCTTTTGAAGTCCGTCACGGGGGGAGGGAGGAGGGGGCGCGCGGGGGGCGCGCGGGGGAAGGTTTCCGCTTTCTAGGGAAGAGTGTTGCACATGTCCCTCGTGACACTAACATAGGTTAAAATTGAACCGATACAGAGCAAGAAAATTAGCGTCGCCCCTGCGCAAGGATGACACGCGTAGTCGAGAAATCGTCCAAATTATTAACAAAAAGGAACGGATAAAAAAAAGAAATGCCCTAAAGAACAAAAAAAAAAAAAATGCGCTGCCCTGAACCCGGTATACAAGCGGGAAGTCTGCCATGCGGAGCTCATGCGTGTGTACTACACACAACTGGAGCTCCGCGAATGCATATTACACCCAGATCTCAGGTGAACGTTCACAACCTATTTTCCGAATGTACACAACCTAATTTTCCGGCTACATACATCTATTAACGAGATACATTGAGCTCCGGAGAAGACTGGAGGTCGCTACCTCCCGGTAGTATCTTCAAGGACGTAGAAATTCGACAAGGGTGCGGCCGGCCGAGCTTATCCCGATCCCGATGCAACAAGTTTCTTCCAAATGAGGGTTTCGGGATCCCGACAAGGGTTGCTGCGCTCGTCCCGACTCCCGAGTCCCGACGACATCATCGGAAATCGCGACATCCGCTACGAACCCTCGTCGCCATCAAACCCCCTCGTCCCGACTCCCGACTCCCGACGACAACTTGCGTCCCACGATGGATGGTGATATCAGGACCGGGTCAGCAACCCTTGTCCCGACCTACAAACACCCTTCTTCGACGAAAAGGGCCTCTCGCTCCACGAATCTCCGACTGCGCTCAATGAGAATGAACCTTCCGCTAGAACACGGAAAGATACACCGCGGCCATACTTTTTTATCTTTTGCGCAAGTATGGAGTGGTAGCGGAGCGCGGTCCGCGCGGCCCAAAGCCGCCATCTTTATCGTCGAAGCAAGCCCGGCGCGCGTCGGAGAAAACCCGGCGCGCGCGCACACACACACACACTCCTTTTTCTCGCTGACAGTCTATCCCGATCTCGACTGTCTTTCGCACACGACAAGACCCGCTGTCCTCCGCATAATCAGCTATGGTAGTTGTGGATTGTATCCCGACGCCGGCCGAAGCAAACTGTCTCTCGAGAGACAGAGAACGACTCGCGCAGCGAATTGCTACCCGTACCTGGACACGATTCTGGCTCTGTTCTTTCCGTTTTCCGAAGGCAAATTCTCGGCTTCGGGACGGATTGCCAACGAATGTAGACGGATTGTACATGAACGACAAGATCACGATTATAGACAGACAAACTGCAGAAGCAAGCGGTCGTCTGCTACTGTAGGGGGGGGCTTGCAACACCCCTACCGTCGTCGTCTCACCCTAATAGAACGCCCCCCGGTAATTGTAGCAGGCTGCATTGGTGCAACTTTCGGTCTAGATGCGGGGATAATCAAACGGACGTTCTATTCGAGTTGAGTGAAGACAGCAGGCAACCGATGTTTTCACTCTTCCGAAGAAGAAACGCCGGTCACTGTCCGCACCTGGCATCGAAAGATGTTTCAGATTCATCGAGTATAATTAATTCCTTTTGACGGTATTTCTTCGACTGTCAGGCACCAAGTCAGCTGGCACACTTGTACCGAACCACTGGCTGTGAAGCAAACAACGGGAGTGACATTTCTTGTCAAAAAAAAAAAAAAAAAAAAAAAAAAAAAAACCAGGAAGCACATCCATAGCTCACCGAGTTGCCGGTCGAATCGTCTGTAAGGGAGAGTAGCAGCCTGACACGTCGGCAACGTGTTCTGCGAGGCCCCTCCTTGCAAGTTGCACCCCATCAAACACAGGCTATTAAAATAGAACTCCACCCCACTCAACCTAAAAGGACAGTCGTTACATAGTAGAAGTAATTCATAGGAGAATAAAAGAGCCCCCTTCCTAGCAGGACTAAAATGGCCTTAAAAAAAATAAAAAAATAAAAAAAAGTAGAATAATGAGCCACCCGCGAAGCATTGCAAAGGCAAAAGACGATCGAGAGAGAGAGAGCGAGAGAGAGAGAGAATGGAGGTGAACATGGAGACACAAGGACCTGCTGCCGGCTCAATGTTCCAGGCACCCTGATTGACCATCAGGTACCTGTACCCCTTCCCACCCCTCCCCCGACATCTAGGACCGACAAAGGACAACCGAATGAAGACGACAATAACGACACTAAAAAATGAAACTAAAAAAAAAAATAAAAAAAATAAAAAGTACATTGCAGTCCGTGTTTCTACGCTGAATTGGATGCATTAGAACTATCGACCTTCAAAAAAAAAAAAAAAAAAAAAAAAAAAAAAAAA